GTGCTTGGTGTGCTGCCTGCCACACAGTGCCTCTGAGCCCAGAGAGGGCTAGCTTTCTCTTGAGGTTGCACCGCAGAGCACAGGCCCAAGTCAGCTACCAAACTGTAAATATCCTCAGCCCCTCTCTACCTCCATCCTAGACTGTCCCCAGCCCCAGCAGTGCCTTAAATGGGAAAGGCCAGAAAATCTCTCTCTCTCTCTCTCTCTCTCTCCACACACACACACACACACACACACACACACACACACACACGAGTTCACCTAGGCTTGCTGGCACACAACGTTGATCTCAGCACTTGGGAAGTGTAGGAAGGAGGATCAGGAGTTTGGGAGCCAGCCTGGACCCTGTCTCAAAATACAACAACAAAGAATTCATGTCACATTCAAGCCCTGCCTCTGCTACACACTGTGCAACCCTGGACCAGGGGCATTATTGCCCTGAGCCTCAGTTTCCCCACCTGTAAAGCTGGCACACAACGTTGATCTCAGCACTTGGGAAGTGTAGGAAGGAGGATCAGGAGTTTGGGAGCCAGCCTGGACCCTGTCTCAAAATACAACAACAAAGAATTCATGTCAAATTCAAGCCCTGCCTCTGCTACACACTGTGCAACCCTGGACCAGGGGCATTATTGCCCTGAGCCTCAGTTTCCCCACCTGTAAAACGAGCCTCATCCAGCACAAACTCTTTGCAGCAGTTATCAAATAGCAATGAGCTAAGACTTGTAAAATCCATCACATTTAAAAACAGCTTGTTGTACACAAAGCCTTGGGAACACCCTAAAAACACCCCGAGGTGGCCTGACATGGTGACAGACACATCAGTCTCACACTTCTCCCTCCCGAACATGAACACTTACCGCTCCTTTCCCCTTGCACCCTCACACACCCACACCCTTCTCTTAAAATACCTCTCTCCTGGGCTGTCAGAGGTGAGCAGTAGCATCACCAGGAAGGTCTTGGCCCACCCCATCATGAATGATGCATTAGCCTCATGCATATTCAAGAAGGAGCCCACAGGGTGCAGGGGGAGGGGGAGGCCTGTGTGTGCAGGAGAGAGAGAGAGAGAGAGAGAGAGAGAGAGAGAGAGAGTGTGTGTGTGATTCCCACACTCTCCACCCCTAAGTCAAGGCACTTGTCAGCAAGTGTCGCTCGGTGTGTGGCTGGGCGTGCATCTGGGATGCTGCGTCTGGGCCAGGGTGTACCTGTGTCTGCACCCTGTGGTTTGGAAACATCGGATATAAGCGCCAGCCTACAGCAGCCTCGTGCTCTGGATAGACTGAGGGAATCCAGGGGGATTTCTGGTCTGGGCATTGACCACACACACACACACACACACACACACACACACACACACACACTGGGTTCCTGGCCTGAGGCTCGTGTTGTATTTGTACGCACAGTGTAAACATGGAACTCATGGACAAGAAAGGAACCTGAGCTGGACATCTCCACTCCTGCCCCACCTCTCCCTCTGTGACTCCCCAATTCTGCATTCAGTCTCACCCTGTAAACCTGGGTCCTGGGTCCCCTGCCCCCCTATGCACAGGACACACCCCAGACACACACCCTGGGAGAGAGACACAGAGATACTTTCAGAGACATTAACAAAGAGAGGCTATGTGGGCGTTTGCCAGGCAGGCTGCGCATCTTCTACACAAAGACACCCACAGCTGAAGCCCCCCACAGAAGCCCCTAAGGAAACAACCACCAGGCTTGGCTCCAACTTGCTGCCTTGCCAGCCCAGCACAAACTGGGTTCCATGTGGCCTTGATGACCAATGCACACACATTTGGCTGTGGTGATGGCACAAGTTTTGTGACAAAATACACCAACCATAGTCATGTAAGTCACAGGAGAGCCCTGACCCCTGGGGCATTCCCCTCCTCCCTTCTGCAGACACACAAAGCCCCCACCTCCTGAGGTAGAGATGTCCAGGGGCCCATAAGGATGTCAGGATCCTGGGGTGGCATAGTGTGTGCCCCCATCCCTTCTCATTGGCCCCCACATGCCCAGCCTGGGCTGCCGCTCACCCAGCCCGCCTCAGTCAGACTGTTTCTCATCCATCATCCTAGAGGGAACAAAGCCCTGCTGTGATGCCTGGATGGGGGTCTCTCCCACCCTGGGGTGCCAGCCCCCTACTTTCCAGTGCCTGGGCCCCCAACAGAACTTAAAAATGTACAATGTGGATAAACAGCCTGGGGGTGAGGGGCAGATCTGGGGACCTGAGAGAATGTGGGGGTGTTCAGGCTCTGGGGGTCCCTCTCTCCCCACAGGGGTCCTTCTAGGTCCTAGACATCCATTCTGTGGCACACCAGGACCCTCATCCAGCATTTTCCAGGACACCCAGCATAGCACACTCTCTGCGAGAAGGGACAGTACTAGCACCCCAACTCCACATCCACTGGAAAAACGGGGAGCCACCTTAGGACGAGGCACCCTGTGCTTTCTTCCCTGAGGCTGGATGCGGTGCGAGTTCTTAGCCCAAAAGGATGGGGGTCTTGGCCCCCCTTTCCAGAGGCGACTTAGCTGCATACACCCTGGTATTGCGGGCCCCCTCCCCACAGCAGTCCTTCATTCATTTGCAAATTGAAAATCCCCTCTTCCAATTCCTGGGGTGGCTCAGCTTAGACAACAGGGTGCCCAGTCCTGGAGTCTCTGCTTTGTGCACTGGGTGTCCTTGTCTTCTCTCCAAACTCGGGGTGCCCCTCCCTAAGCCCTGGCTCCCAGAGCCTTCTGCTTGATTTAAAGAACCATCCGCAGCGAGAACCCCTTCCCAGTGGGACTGTGTCTGCATCCAAGACCCCTTCCTCCTCAATGCGCATCCCGACACTCCCGAGGCCGCTCCCCGTTGCGCGCGCCCC